ACAAAAGATGCTGTACCCAAGCCAAAAAAGGAAAGAAATCCTGATTTTTATTTGCATGAGATTATTTTATTGGGTGGAAAAAAGTAATTGAATTACATACAATAAAATAAGTTCTTGGTTTTTTTGGAGGAAAACAAAGACGAATATAATCTAGGGAAAAACCCTCAGAACAACAGGAGAATACTTGCCAAACACAGAGCTCCTTAGCAGCTAAAGTACCTCTTAGTTGCCCTCTTATCCCTCTGGAAACAAATATTACTAGATATGTTTCAGGCTGCTATATTAGACTTCTGTCTGCCCCTTTACCATGCCTTCATCAAACAAAGTACTTAGACACCTGCTTAACCTTAAGCACATTTAACGTTATCACCAGGGATCCTAGTTTTCTCTGTTTAAAAATTGCAAATTCTCTGATTTAGAAAGAAAAATCACAAATTATGATTAAAAACCCCCAAATCTATGTTTTTCCACAATTTAAAATGAAACACCACTATAAAGGTATCAGTTGAACACAATGCTTTATGGATATATTTACAATTTTAAAGCAATTGGGAAGCCTACTAGTGTCTCAATTACTATAATAAAATAAATTCTAAATACCTATACATATTGGCATTTGATTTTGTGTTTTTTATCCTGTAAAATCAGAGCTCCCCCTGCCCCCTTTGCTCACCAGGATGCAGGTCCACCTGCGGCTATCCCCCCACTGCTTTGTTGTGCTAATCAGCCCTGACATGATAGTGCTTTGCCCATGCCATTGGCCCTCACTGTCAACCCACAGCCCCACAGCCTCACTGGTGCCCATCATTCCCCACCCACAGCCCCCTGGTTGCTGCTGGTGCACCTCACCCCCAACCCACAGCCTCCTGGCCCTGCTGGTGCCCCTCACTTCCCACCCACAACCCCCTGCCCCCACCAGACCTGCTGGAGGGGACCCCCAGCTGCCAGGGCTATGGGTCCAGGGACCTGGGTCAACAGCTCCCTAACCCCCACTGCAGCATCTGTGCCCCAGCTGCTGCCCATGGGAGGTGGCAGCTGCTGCAGTGAAGCCTGTCTCCCCCTCCTCCATGGGTGGCATGGCTGGAGCCCATGGTGTAGGGGTGTATTCTGCCTGGAGTGGGCTTGGGGCTCCCTGCCCTGGTGCCCTGCCCCTAGGGGCCTCCATGGCCCAGCTGGCAGGACCTGGCATGGCAGGGCAGGGCAGGGCATAGCAGGGCGAAAAGGCTCAGTGCTGCTGCTAGGAGCCCTGGGCTGCCATGGCAAGGCACCCCATGCTGCCCGGAAGCAGCAAGGGTGGCAGCGCAGGGTTGGTGGGCGGGCAGTGCTGGGTGGGCAGAGGGTGCCTTGCCATGGCCGTGGCACTGAGCCTCTCTGCCCTGCTCTGCCCTGCCATGCCAGATCCCACCTGCAGTGCTGCAGAGGCCCCAGGGGCAGGACAGCAGGGTAGGGAGCCCTGAGCCCACAGCGGGCAGCCTGCATCCACCCCTGCCCCATGCACAAATCTAGGGGGCACATGTCCCCAGTGGAGTCCTGGGAGTGTGCACAGTGGTGGGGAGCCAGTTCCCCAGACAAGTCACCTGCACTACATCCTGCTCCCCACCTGGTGTCTGCAGCCATGCATGCCAGCCCCAGGCTCCAAACCCCACACACCAGCCCAGCTGGTCAGCAGCCCTAGCCCTAGCTCTAGCCCTAGCCCTGCTCAACTCTCTCCCTCACTATGGGGGCCTCAATTTCTGCACCCCACCTAGACTTACTTGCAGGGAGCTGTGCATGGAGCCCCCTGCCTGACCGTCCTCCTCCCACTACCCCCAGCCCCTTGCAGAAATCTGCCAGATGTTCTAATTTTAACATTACAATTAAAATTTTAATGTTAAAATAAAACATCTGGGTTTTTCTCCTTGAAATGAGAAAATCCATGTTTTACCACTTTTTTAGTGTCAAATGGAAAACCCGGATCCCTGATTATCATCAGAATGAGAGAACACATCCACAGACCCTCTCTTATAGCCTTTACCTTCAAATTATAGTAATCTGGACTTTCTTGTGTTCAGGGGCCTCTAAAGTCCTGCTGAAATCAATGTTAAAAAACAAGGCCTTAAGACATTTCCCATTTGCGGAGGAAAAGGAACAATTGTACTTGAGGTCCATTTGATTAGCTTCCTGATCCTAATACTGGTAATGAGACTGTTCCTTGTGTGTGTCCATACACTTTGTTGTGTAGAACTGGTAGTCTGTGAATTATAATTTAGTGCTTCAATATTTTTTTTTAAGGGAAATTATTTCAAATAATTTGACATAATGACTTTGACTTAATGAGGTCATGAGGCTCTTCGCCTTCCTCCCACCAATGAAAGAAGATATGTGGTATAAGCTAAGAGCCCTGCACCAAGAGCTCTCTGCCACTGGTTGTAGGTGGTCAAATCTAGGACCTGCTAAAAAACAGCACCTGACTTCAGTTGCCATAGTGGCACGTAAAGGTGAGACCTTGGGCTGGGCTACCAGTTTGCCTTTGCATATTGTAGCTGCTCATGGCAATATAGCTAAAGGTGACAAATGCCTAGCTTCATTGCAGGGCTGTCTCTTACTTAGATGTTCTTGAGTTTAATTTTTCAAAGGTGATAGGAGCCTCTGAAAATTTCTGAAATCATGTGCGAAGTTCCAGATATACAGTTTATATACATACCGCCTGCTCATGGTGTGCTTAACTTCATTTTGCTTTCTGTCCCTCCTTCCACATATTTCATGTTAAAGTTTAAAAAGATACCTCACTATGATTGTGAGGTGAGGTGCTGAGAATGCTGCTTCTGCTCTTAATTCCAGGATTTGTTTTCTACTTTATAATAGTGTGATGGATCTGATCATTGTTCCTTCTTTTTGACAAAGGCAACTTGAATTGGGTCTCTCAGACACCACAAACTCAACCTGTGAAACTGTTCTGTAGGAGCAGTGCTGCATGAATGGCGATAGTGACTGGACTACAACAGCTCCTCACACCATGTTTGTCTTCTTTTCTTTTGTTTAACTTTTCAACAGGATTAAAATTAATAGAGCAATTTCACATGTAGGCTGCACATTTTTAAGATTAAAATAAATTTTAGAAAATTCTCATTGTAAAGAATAACAAGTAAAAAAAATGTGGTTTGGCATTAGCAACAGGGTCCTTTTAATCTGCATTTAAATAAAGGTATTGACTATGTAAAACACAAGGCCGCCTCCAGCAGCACATAAATAAGTGTTTGCCAGGTATAGTATTCGATGTGGGCTCATACTTAAGATTTTGAAGGCACACATCAGTAAATCTTTGGATTGCCAACCATTTGTTGTTTGGTTCAGTTCTATTGTATTTTTTTTTATATTTTACCTGCCTTTAGAAGGGGCCTGAGCACACTTGTTTATAGATCATTAAATAATGAAACAATTCATACATTTGTAGCAGAAAACTTCTGATGTATTTTATCAGGTAAAATAAAATCCTGGCATTTGCCTGAAGTTTTCCTTCACCTTAAATAAACAGATGCCCAGTATGACTGAGAATATAATACCCTAAAGTTTAAGACTGGTTTGTAAACACAGTCCCTAGTGTCTACTATTGATCTTTTGCTATTTTAATGCATTTTTACTGACCGACATGTCCTGTGGTAAAGAATATTGCCTAAATTAGTTATCTGATTGGTTCTTTTGATTAATGATGGGACTGTGCTTCATTACACATGACAACATGATCAGAATAATCACTACAGCCATAGAAGCTGGGACTGGCATTTTTTATTCCTTCATTTTTAAAGTTCATTTATAAAATTATTTAATGTATACGTCCTAAGTTGTAATTTATTTACATGACACTTTTTTCGATGGGAACTGTTGTACTGTGTCACAAATGGCTAAGAAAACAAGGTAAACTAGATGTACAAATCAATGTCTTCTGGCTCAAGGGGAAAAAAACATAATCAAGATTCAAGAGCTGACCTTGTCCAAAGTCCAACTTGTCACACAACAAACACTGAGGCACCCAACAAATCATTAGGATCAGCAGCATGTATTCAAAGGAATGTTTAAATGATATTATTTCTTGCTTGAGTTTTTACTGAAGCTTCAGAACTGGAGTGAGTGTGCGATTTGACACCACGTCTGCAACTTCTAGCTGGCCATAAGCCACACCCAACAGAAGGCAAAAAATGGGAAGCTATGGCTGAAATAACTCTCCTGTGCCCCAAGCAAGGCGTCTTTGCTTAGAAATGAAGGGTACTATGTGACAAAGCTTGTTTATTGCTCAACTAAGTAAGGACTCTGAGGCCTGGTTTGAATCATTACTGGTATATGACTGTTATTCACAAGGGAACATCAACCTCTGAAATGGTCTAAGCCAATCTAACAAGATCTAACAAGTCCGGGCAGCGAAGAGGCTACTTGTTTAAGTAGCCATCATGTTAGGCACTCACAGAAGCACTAATTGTCCTGGCTTAGGTATCTCTCTTCCACAGTGCTGACTGTCCCATTTGGAGGACCAAAACCAGATGTGGTGTTTAGCACCCACTTAGCAGTTCACTATCTGCCATAGCCCATAACACCTTTACCTGCTTTGAGGTTCTTGATTGCTTTTTAGTAGGTCATTGTGGGATTGATCTGTTTAAATTTATAAGGACATGCATTCCATCTTATGTCATGTTGATGAATGATTCAAAATTTTAAATGGCAATGCAACATTTAATGTTTTGAAAAATGTTTGAATGGTGTCATGCACAGAATAAATGGCAGCTTTCATTTTCTTTCTTCAAAATTCCCTGGCAGCCTGTTTACATGATGTTGACAGACATTTTAGCATTTGCCAGAGAAATAATGTGAAGGATTGGATCCTTGCCATATAATGGTTTCCTTTCTATGGCAAGTGTTGAAACAAGTATGTGTTTGCATAGGATACACACACATACATTTTATACTTATTTCCAAACAAAATTTGTTTGTTTGCTGTTATGGTTACAGAAATCTCTTTTCCATCAGCACTATTTCCAAAAGGGGTGGAAGCTAAGAATTCAGGAGAGTCTGGTATACAACCCAGACCTGAACTAGTGCAATTAATAATATGTAACCATTACAACATCATAGGAATGGTCTCACTGACCCAGCCCCTGAACAACCTCAACTTTGCCCTGATATTGGTTTTAGATTTTTATGTAAAATTCAAATATTACATTTTGGAATGGATTATACCAATGGAGTTACCAGGTGGAGAACTGAATATTTTCTTATTACTTTGTGTAAGACAGCACCCAGAAGCCTCAGTTTGGGAACAGAGCCCTACTGTGCTTGATACAGTCCAGTATATGTAACACACGTAATATATATCAGTTGCCTACTGCAGGGTAGGGTAGATAGATCAACTCTCTTCATGGGTAACTTCAAAGTAACTGCATGGGTACAGTTATTCCACATGCAGCCAATTGCAGGATCAAAGTTGAAGTTGTTCTATGTAGTTAAGCATGGTGCTTTATTAGGCCAACAAAATCATTCCCCCGGAAGAACTGTGGCTTTATGATGGTGAACTAAGAGTTGATTTTAGCATGTGTCCAGTCTGTTGTTTGGTGGCTAATATTATTTATCTAATTATGGTTACTTGGGACTTTTTGCTCATGCGAAAAGACAGCTGTTAAATGGAACTTGTTTAGTCATACTTAAATTTCCATTGATTTCATATAGTTATATAAAAGCTTGGACTGGGTCCAGTCTTTATACATGAAAGAATAAGGTACTAAGGATTTGTTTTAATACATAGAGAGAAAGTTGTATGACTTTCTACTTCATAATAGTTTGGGGGTGTTTTGTTTAGAAACCATCAGAAGTAAATCAGACAGTCGCATATACTTGAGTGTCTTGCTGAATTGGGGCTTATATTGAAAACTGTTGCAAACTTACTGTATAGCTCACTGTGTTTTAGTGTTAAGGAGTATATGAAATATATACTAACAGTGGGGTTCCATGCTGTAATTAAAAGCAAAGTTAGTTTGTAGGTGCTGCATGTGTGAATAAAGGGGACGGCAGTTTTTTCTTGAACTATGAATAAAAACTAAAATAAAGCATGCTTCTTTACTTCCAGTTAAAGAGTCAGTTTTTCTCTTCAAAAGGTTTATTGTATAAATACAAACACAAAATCAGTTATCAATTATGTAATATATATGTATTAGTGAAAACTTAAAAGTGGGCATTTTGGAGCTCTTCATATAGCATTCAATCCTTTATACTGTATAGAATTAGATAGCATAGATGTTGAATATGCAAGTTGTATGTTAATATGGTTAAATGACTAGTGAATTGCCCAACGCAATCAATTGAAATATTCAACAACTTTGTGTTGAAGTTGAAGGAAATTATTACCTTGAGTCTGCCAAATCCATGATACAACTTTGCATTTGCAATAATGTGTGCCTTATTTAGCATTCAAAAACATATATATAGTTTACTTTAATGAAGTAAGATTAGTCCATTAAGGAGAGACTTGTTACAACTGCAGAATGTAATAATCTGCGCTATATAGGAGCTTTAAATGCTGGTTGGAGGATTTTACTTTTTTGTTCATAATGCACATTTAAAAAAAACTGCAAAGGCATCTATATTGTTTTGTCTTTTTATTATTTGTTTATTTACCCTAAAAATAAAATGACTTGATATAAGTGTGCAATGCTATTTACTTGTATTTTAAAGCCTTGCATAATATTATACAGTAGATTGGAATGCATACTTATGCCTTTGCATTTCATTGGACAGCTATGCTAAAGCAAATAAAATCAAACACATACATTCCCATTCAGTGACTTACAAACTGTAAGTGATGGGCGGAAAAAGCTGCAGCCATTCCACTGAATTCTGTTATTGACAACAGCAGAAGTAAAAAAATTAGAAAACAAATCCCTTTTTAAATAAAATGAAGTAAAAGACCTACATTGCTTGGAGGAAATGCTAATTGAAAATACCTTGCTAATGCTAGCTAGTCACAGGAAGGAAACATTAAGTTATTATTTTTAATAATGTTTACAAGTATATCCAGCCATTTCCAGCCAGTGAAAAATGTTAGCCTTGGCAAAATGTGGCAGTGCTACTTTTCACTGGTGATGCTGCTCATCTTCTCTCTGATAGCAATCATTAATTTTATTTTTTAACCCAGTCTTCAAATGAAGACAGATGAGCAGGAGAGTTTTAAATGCAAGCTGCTTATGTTCAGAAAAATGGCTGCTAGATTACAGATCACAACGCCTGATCTGAGTCCAGTTACTGTTTGGAAAGGGGGAGAGAAAAAACAAACAAACATTAGGTACGAGACAAACAAGGAGGCTTTCTAAGATCAGCTAACAGCCAATTGTGCGTGTGCATGTGTGTGTGTGTGTGTGTGTGTGTGTGTGTGTGTGTGTG